CTTTGTGAAATGCCTTGACTCTTGAAACCCAATTGAGGATTAGAATTAGTGTCTGAGATAGCAAGATCGGAAAGGATGTTTTAACAATGCCATCCTAACATTGCGGCGGGCTCCCTGGCTCCCTTGCTCCAGTATAWGAATGTAGCAATCATCGAAGTGGATAAGCAGCTACACATCGCCACAAAAGCACGTATTGTCAAATACTATAATGCAAATACCAACCAGAGGTAAAGGCTTTGAGCTTCTTCTCGTTCAGATATGTTGCAGCGTAGTCGTCTACATCTCAGCATGTCTACGATTCTGGGCCCAATACGTTCACCGGAACAAGCAACTGGAGTATAATGTTACTGGAAAAAAGAAGCTATCATCTCATGATATACTGATGCTTGCATCTGTGGTATGTGCCTACTGTGACTTCCAGATCTTTCTGGTGGGACTCGTGCTATCCGAAGACACAGGAGCTCCGTGAATATGAGACACTCATCCAGTACTTACCGGGATTTAGCTTTTTTATACAGCCCAGGCTATCGTTATAGTCAGAGGCATCGTCGAGGGTGGTATTGGTCAACATGCAAGCCAAATCGGAAATACGGAGATTATTACAGGCTTTCAAATGTGGTACTTCGGTGAACTCATCAATGCCGTGCTTTCATGCCTTATCAAGACCTCTATAGTCTTATTCTTGCGAGAAGCATATATCGGTCGACGAAAAGCTACTGATCAGCGCAAAATCTCCTGGATGTTATACATTTGTTTTAGCGGCATCTGCGCAGTCTCAGTCGTGTTCTTATCGGCCAGCATCTTCCAATGCTCCCCTCCGAGCCATTATTGGAAACAATTTAAGGACCCAAAGAACGAAGGCGCTTGCTCGAAGAGCGTGGTACCAGCTACTGGTATTGCTCTTAGTATAGTTTCAGCCATCACTGATTTCGTTCTGGCATCAGTGCCTACAGTCGCTTTGTTAAAGACGCAGATCCCGTGGCAAAAGAAAGCTGCCATCCAAGGTCTGTCGAGCTTGGGAGTATTGTGAGTCATTCCTGACGCCTTGAAATGCCGCTTTCTACCGACACAAAG